TCAAGTAGCTTTTTCACCAAATTTGATTCCTCAATCTCGTATCCGAGGGTACTTGCCGTTGAAGCTAAACCGATCAATTTTTCGGCGAAGTCATCAACGGTCTCACCTTCCTTCATACGCAATCCTTCGAGCTCCCTCTTCAAAGTTGCTAGACGAGCCGTTCTCACCCGCTCCACTCCCAAAAACCGCGTCTTTAGGCCATCCCAAACTTTCTTTGGGTCGGTGTAGCTCGCCATTTGCAACACCATGTCTTCGGGTATCGCTTGAAACAAGAACGCAAGAGCTTGTTTTGACTTCCTTGGATCCCTTTGTTCGCCTAGCGCCCTCGGTTCGACCGTCTCCCATAAACCATATGCATCCATGATCGTTCTCACCTTGACAGCCCACACCGGATAATTCGTCCGGGTCAAGGCCGGAACTTGAAACGTCATCGAACCTCCTTCTCTTGGTACCAACGCCATTCTATTCTTCGTTTGGACATCCCCTAATTTTGTTGATCAAGCTTGTTCCGAGAGAATTTTCTACCGATCAAGAAAACACGGTCACAACCATCGTTACCATTTTCCGTCACCCGCAAAGCGAACCGAATCACAACAACCTGCTATGAATTCTTTCTGTCCACTTATCCCGCACCCGGTTATCCTCTCAACAACGCTGGAACAAACCCGATCAAGTCAAAACAGGGCCGCCGTTGAGATGCTTCAACGAACTATCAAGAACGCCTCAAAAAATTATTCAAACGGATCTTTGGGCTCTGATACCAAATGTTGGAAAACTATATAAGATGTAACTAAACTAAAACAAATAAATCGAGCACTTTATGTGCAAAAGAAGAAATGGATAGTTTAATATTTCAAAGTATATACGGAGTATGAATGGAATGAACATGCAGCAACTTTACTTCATTAAAATTTAAAAAAAATACAAAGACAAATGCAAGTATAAATAGGAGATCACTAGGTAGTTAACTAAACTAGTCCACTACTCCACTACTCCACTTCTTAATTACCTACTCATGAAATTACCACTACTCCACTAATACCAATTGCAACTAATTAAATTAATTAAAAACATAAACAATTTAAAACTTAGCCATGCATGCATACGTGGGACCGATTAAAACCCAACAGAGATAACTGAACCATCGGCTTTTTAAAAAGAGGAACAAAGGATCATTTTAAAATAGATGCGGCAGAAAGAAAAAGGACATGATCCTATCAAATAAATGCATGCATATTTTGCAGAATACTTGTTGAATGTAGGATGTACAGTCATTTTGTATAACTTCATGATTGAACCAGGAATGCATACAACAATCAAGGAGCAAAGATTACATGCAACATACCAAATAGAGAGTGGGGTCATGCTACACTTGTGTCGAGAAAGTCTAACATTGGTGATTTGGTATAACACAAATGTTTCTCACTTGAGGAGATGATCGAACAATCGGCTTTAAGAAGAGGAACAAAGGACCATGTTAAAACATATGCGGCAGAAGGCAAAAGGGACAAGATCCTATCAAATAAAATGCATATAAATATAAAAGAGTATGAACTGACAACTATCATGTGCATTTTGAATGCAGAGAGAGTACACTACTATATCATAGTTCTTAGAATCCTACAACACTTTTTACAAAATAAAATGCACTTTCATCATGTGCATTATAGATAAATACAAAAGTGCACTATTATAACACACTTTCTAAAATTCTAAGTAGACACTCTTTACAAAATAAAATGCACTTTTTCTTCCAAATGCATCATAATTGTTCCACTATCATGATGTCATCTTATTGCACTCCACATTGAAGTGGAGTCAAAATTATAAAAAGTGCAGCATATATAATTGTGTTAGTGCCAATTGTAAAAAAAATGTAGAGCATAATCATAGTAAAATGATTATGCATTAAATAATCGATATCAATGCATGAAAAAAACATGATAAGTGCATTTAAGTATCACATATGATGGACAAATAAGGGTCAATAGTGCATATTTTAGTACAATGAATAAAAGTGAATGAAATGAGAGTCCGCGCCGAGTGCAAATTTTAAAAGTCCAAGAGGAATATATAAATAACATTAATATGGATTTGTTAATCGATGTTAAGTGCAAGTGCATGTGATTTAAATTGCACCGAGATGTCAAGCGAAATTAAATTTTAATAAACAAAAGTAATACGGAGTATAACACGTATTCAAAATTTCAAAAATTTTAAAAAGTTATTTACATGGTTATATTTCTAGGATAATGATATGCACTAATTAGTAATGCATAAGTGTATGTTTTTATGTTTGATTTGTGTGGATTGTTTACCATTTTATTTAGTTTGTAAACATTTGTGTGATTTTAGTTGTATTTGTATTTTAGTTCTCATTTGTAAGTTGTAAAGTAGAGTTAGGATTTATGGTGTTGGAAAGGAAGACTTTGAAGTGAAGAAAAAGGAGATTGGACTTTCCAGGACCTGAAACCCGACCGGGTAAGATTTAACAGGCGAAGGTGGCTGGAAATTACACAGACCCGGTCGGGTCCCCTACTTGACCCAGTCGGGTCAGATGTGACCCGAAACACCAGAACATGCCGAAGATCGCCAGAATGTGGAAAATATCTGATTTTGACCAAACCCGGTCGGGTCAACTTGGGGACCCGGTCGGGTCAGACACGACCCGGGACCAAACGACGTGCAGAAACATGAGAACATGGCGAAATATTTGATTTTGACGTTTACCCGGTCAGGTATGTCCATTTACCCGGTCGGGTAAATGCCCCAGGGTGTTGAAAACACCTATAAATAACCCTATTTTCCTTCACTTTTAAAAACCCCTTCTTCCATACTCTTAAGCTCAGTTTAGAATAGTATTTCTTTTATATTTTTATAGCATGTTTAGTCTCCAAATGAGGAGCTAAACTTCAATTTCTTGGTGTTGCTCTTGAAGCTTGTTGATTATTAAAGTTCTGAGTTATTTTCTTAACTTCTTCCCTTGAATATTAATTATTCTCTTAATCTATCTATATATTAATGTTGGGGAGTGTTTCTAAGATGACAATTAGTTAACATCTCGACATTAGTTATAGTAGTATTTATTTTCTTCCTCTATATATTAATGTTGGGGAGTGTTACTAAGATGACAATTAGATAACATCTTGATATTAGTTATAGTAGGATTATTCTTATTTAATCTTTTTCCTTGAATATTAATTCTTCCCTTAATCTATCTCTATGTTAATGTTGGGGAGTGTTGCTAAGATGACAATTAGTTAACATCTCAACATTAATTACTACTAGAAACGTTCAACGAGCCGATGGTTAATCGTTGATGGTTTCACAAGTAAGTAACTTCGGTTTATTAATGCACGGTCGTGGTTAATAAACTTAAGAGGGATTAATTTTGTTGGTTAAACCGAAACCGTTGTGTTGAGGTTATCAATCTCAATTAGTGCTCGACTCGGGCCGGGCGGCCCGGCCCGGAACCGGCCCGGCCCGGGGCCCGGTGGGTCCACCGGTTCGGTTCGGCCCGGCCCGGCTGCTGGGCGGTTCGGGCCCAGGTTTTGGTGAACCGGCCCGGCCGGTTCGGGCCCGGTCCGGGCCGGATTTTAATTTTTTTTTTTTTGAATTTTTTTTAAGTTTTAGGTTGGATTAGGTATTTTGGGCCATTTGAGGTGGTTTGGGATGGTTTGGGGTTGAGGGGGAGGGGTAGGGGATTAAATAGGAGAACAAAAAAAAAAAAAAAAATTGGGCCGGTTCGGCCCGGCCCGGCCCGGTTTGGCCCGGAACCGGGACCGGAACCGGCCACCGGCGGTTCGGGCTCGGGCCTCCCTTTCCTGGCCCGAGGCCCGGCCGGGCCCAGGCCCGAACCGGGCCCGAACCGGCCCGAGTCCAGCACTAATCTCAATTGATTTCATCAAGGAGTTAAGAGATTAAATGCTACTATCAAGTCGGTATATGGCGATGTTCTATACTTGACTAATAGTAAAGGTTATTAATGAACGGTCGTTGTTAATAACTACCCTCGATGAATTGGATATACTCCTCGATTGAGTATTCGAGAGGGGATAAGTTATAGATATAACAATGATCGACTAAAATATATCAACAAGTGGAAAGTAGCAATGCCAAGTCCTTTTTATCTTTGAATTAAGTCACATTTAAGTTGTTCATCTTTGTGTTTAATTAAATTAAACCATTCAATCCTAAAAACCCATTTTATTTACTAGTTTTATAAAAAGAGAACTATTCCTTTCCCTGTGGATACGAACTCTACTACGTATAAGTGTTAGTATTGAATTTATTTTGACGCACCGTGACAAAGTGCTCGTCAGATAAAGATACGTAAAATATTAAAAAATAAATATACATTAAGCTTGCTTGATAAATATTCAATTACTATTATAAATAGAGATTAGAGAACAAGAAATTGCAAAAATTCAAATTACATAAACACAAATAATCTTCTGAAATTCAACCGAGAAATATAAGAAGTTAATCATCTTATTATGATTAATAGAGAGATGACATTGTGCTATAATTTTCTTTCATGAATCTTAATATATAAAGATGAGATGAAAGAGGTGTAAGGAAATGAAGGTTGTTCAGTTTTTGTAATTGAGAAACGGTAACGAGAATAAGAGAGGAAATGAAGGAGAAAATATTCAAATTAGGATATTACATAGAAAGAAATAATATTCAAATGATTGATTTAGCCTTACATGATAAAATTAAATAAATTCAATAATATTGCAATCTAATGGTACTGATTAATTCTCATCTTTCTCCTTTTCTCATCTCGACTTAAATCATCTAGGGGTGCCCGCAATATGAATTCTGGAAGATTTTAATGGAGTTTAGAATTTCGTCAGAATTTTAGAGTTCCTGATTTGAATTTTTGTGGAATCTATGAAAATAAAGGTGTTCTAAAACATTCATGAATTTCTATTATTACTTATTTGAATGAATTTTAATGGATTTTTTTAGATCTCTACATACAAAACATTGCACCACAAATCTTGTTGACACCCCTCGGATTTCAAATCCATCCCACCCATTATTTCACCCTCACCCGATTTCAAATCCTACGCCTCTCCCGATTTCTTCTTCTTTTTCGCCACTCGAATGGTCTGTTTACCCTGTCGGAATAGGCTAGTAAACTCTTTTTTCAGGTTTATCTTCTTCACCTCTTTATTCTATTTCAATTTCAATTATTAGGTTTGCAAACAAGCAGTCAAGCTTTCAATTTCAATTACGAGGATGACAAGTGAACATGCTACAGTGCTAGTCAAGCTTCTGCAATCAGCAAACAAACTTTCTGCTTCATGCTACAGTGCTAGTCGCCTACTTCATGGAATTGAGCCTGGTACTTAGTAAAACCGGTTTACTAGTTCTTGTGCAATCCTATTTCAAGTCTTCAATTGACAAATGAAGCATGAAACAACAAACTGGGTTGTAAGACAATGCATATATTGAAATCTATATAATTCTATGATATAAAATTCCATAATACTCCATCAAATGCCATAGAATCTCTAGAATTCTATTACAATCCATGAATTTAAAATCTTTAAAAATTCTTTATGGGGTGTTTGGAACTGATTCTGCTTCTGCTTCTTTTTTAAAAGCAGAAGCAGAATCAGAATCAGTTTTCAGAAGCTGGTATCCCCCAGCTTCTATAAAACTGATTCTAAGAGTAAATTAGAGCTCCAGAAGTGCTTATGGAATTTCATCCAAACACTTCAGCTTCTGCTTCAGCTCCTTAAAGGAGCAGAAACAGTTTTGAGAATCAGATCCAAACTCCCCCTTAAAATCTATGTTGGGGACACCCAGTAAATGTATATACCTAGTTCCGAAAATCTTTTACTCCGTACTTGATAAAAAATGGTAGGCCAGTAACGTCCAACCTTGGACTAAAACTAATTAACAGTTCATTCTATATGAGCTACGATTTACAAACTATGGTCCTTAGATTATACATTTAACAATTTATTTCGTTTGTTTCTCCAATTAATTATTCTTTGTCACTTACCTGAAAGGAAAATAATCTTGGGTTTTTGGTATTTTTAAAAAAATATTTCAATTAACAAATCTTTATATATATTACGTAGTATATACGAAGTATATAAGATGTTTTCTTTTGGACTGAAATTTGCTGGTCTGGTCTGGCCTGGTCTAATTAAGTCTGGTCTGGTCTGGTCTGAACTGGTCTGGTCGGCTACACGTCTGGTCTCTGTGTATTTTAATTTATAACTACGGAAGTCTGGTCTGGTCTGTTTAAGTCTGGTCTGGGACTGAAAACAGTCCAAAAGAAAACATCCATATTAACTAATGCGATTAATTACCAAAGATATTTCACATATGTGCTAGCTATTTAGGATGTTTTTCTTTTGAACTGTTTTCAGCCCCAGACCAGACTTAAACAGACCAGACCAAACCAAACCAGACTTCCGTAGTTATAGAATACACAGAGATCAGACGTTTACCGGACCAGACCAGACCAGACCAACCCAGACTTAAACAGACCAGACCAGACCAGACCAGCAAATTTCAGTCCAAAAGAAAACATCCTTAGTGATAGGTATATATCAAATATGCATTTCCATTTTCCATAACCTAGCTCAGACCAAGGCAAAAATGATAAAAAGTCTAAATATCATTGAATGTAGCGATTAATTTGCAAGCGAATATATACTAAATTAGTAAAGAATCAATAAATAAATAATTCGATCTATGTAGTAGATAGATTTTCATTAGATCATGATCTTGAGCATGTTTGAAAGACTCTCGTCCTCATTCAGTACCGGAGGCTTATCTTGATCCGCCTTCACAATAGCCTCTTCACTGCAGATATACGGAATGAATTCAATATACACACATAGATGTATTAATAAAGTTGATCATAAAAATGAAAATTAATATATATCATAAGTCAAAATAAAAAATAAAAAAATCAGTATTCAATAAAATCACGTTTATATTTATGTTGTTGTAATTATTATTATTGTTGTTGTTGTTGTTGTTGTTGTTATTATTGTTATTATTATTATTATTATTATTGTTATTATTATTATTTTTATTATTATTGTTATTTTTATTGTTATTGTTATTGTTATTATTGTTATTGTTGTTATTATTATTGGTTTTGTTATTATTATTATTATTATTATTATTAATACTACTACTACTATTACTATTATTAGTATTACTATTACTACTATTATTATTATTATTGCTATTATTACTATTATTATTACTATTATCATTACTATTACTATTATTATTATTATTATTATTATTATTATTATTATTATTGTTGTTGTTGTTGTTGTTGTTGTTGTTGTTGTTATTATTAGGATTATCATTATTATTTTTATAATAATTTAGTGACATTACATTATCATTACTGATGCACGCAATATTTTAATTTAATTACTATGGTATTTATTGAAATGTTACCGTGTTTTCATTAAAAATGACACTTGTGCAATTCCACTTTTGAATCCATGATCAAGTTTTAGCTTCATTCGGTTTCTATCACGTTATTAACTTCTCTAATGAACATATATACACACAATATTTCGTCAAGCGGGTGATATGAATATGAGAATCTGTCAGGCTAACTTTGGTTTTTGCCAATTAAAAAGGAAATTCAAGTCATTCTTTTAATTTGTTTCATCCCACTGTGACTGTTTAATTAGGCTCTTATATACATCAATCACATGTACAATCAATTCAGCTACCTTTTAATACTCGATCGGTATCTCATTTCACATCATACATTTTTTAAACAAATATCTCTAAATATAGTCATCTATAGGTATTGAAATAAGCCTTATTTTTAATCCCTTTTGCAATATATTCTATTTATAATATTCTACAATAATTAAATCTCGTTTTGGTATGAATTGAACTTAACATAAACCCAATAGAGAAAGTTAAAATGAGTAAGTATATAATGATTAAAATATGCACTTTAAATAGTGTCTAAACCCCTATGAAAGGAGTACTGTATTAAAGAAGAAATATACTAACCTTCCAAGTGTTCCATCCGTGTCAAAAGTGAGTCCTTCTATTTCAGCATAACCCGACAAATCAAGAGCTGGCTTCATACTATCCTCAGAGATTTGACTTGTTGGAACCGTCAATGACGACGGAGGAGGCGTATTATCAACAGGAACATGCACTCCCCATGCAACACTGTTGTTCATAAGATCTACCATTTCATCGTTTTGAACGATCAAGAATTGTGGTTGATGATGGTAATGGTGAGCTGGGTACACGACGTTCATCATCATATTGTTTGATGGTTTTTCGCACCACCCATCGGTCACGGGTGCCGGTTTATGATCTTCGTCTGAAATGCCATTATTGTTGTTGTTTGCATGAGCAGCGGCGGCAGCTGCGCGGCGGCAATACGCAATGTGGGCAAGGACGAGGTCGAGCTCGGCTTGGGTTTGGTCGATCTGGTGCTGGAGGTGGCGGATGATGGTGTAGCAGCCGCCGACGGGGTCGAGGGCCCGAACGTCGGATTCAAAAATGATGGTGCGCATGGCCTCGTCCTTGTGGGGTGGGCTCAGATGGCGGATGATCTTGGTGATGTTGCTGACCCCGAACAGCTTGTGGGCGTTCTGGAATTGGCGTTGGCGGTCGTGGGGGAAGTAGGGGGCGAGGATGCAGTCGGCGGCACACTTCCTCCGCTGGTGCTTGCAAGCGGCACAGGCCTGGGAACCGTTGTGGTTGTTGGTGGTGCGGGATGAATGGGACGATGAAACGATGATGTTGTTGCTATGGTTAATGATGGGGTTGTTCTTGTTGGAATTGTTTCTGTTTGTGTGATTAATGTTGTTGATAATGTTCATGGTATTAAATTCTTGTTTTTGTTGTTTGTTCGTGTTTGAAGGGGAGAGATGGGGAGATTTCAGCTGCGTCTCCGATGGGGATGGAGAAAGGGAGGGAGGTTCGGTGAGAATTCAAAGATCTATCGAGCCTTATGCATTTTCTGGTACGTAGTATAGGTGCTTAATTTCATCCCTCTATTCTCAACATGTTGAAATTAGTACAATCACTTTTTCAAAATTTTGCACTAGCTAACTAATTTTGTTTGGGGTACTCGGGAATAAATTAAATGAAACTTACATTACAAAAATAGGATCGGAGTATTTAATTACTCCTTCCATCCCACAATTAATTAAATTTTCAATTTGACTTTTACGGTGTTTTAGGTGGACGTTTGACCTTAAATATCTAAAAATCTATATATATAAAGTCTAATACTACCTCTGTCCCATTTTATGTGTCTTAGTTTGACTTGGCATGATTATTAATGAAGTGGTTGAAAAAGTAAAAGTTGTGATTGAGGTTTGAGTATAATAAAGTGAAATGGTGTAAGCCACATATTTCTTTTCAAAAAGGAAAGTGGACACTTATTTTGGGACAACCTAAAAAGGAAAGTAGGACAGGTAAAATGGGACGGAGGGAATATAAATTAATATTTGAATAATATATACTCCAATGTAAATTATAAATAATTAACGGTCAAAATTTATAAAGTTTGGCACAAAAAGTGCAACTGAGAACTTAATTGCGGGACGGAGGAAGTATTTATTTGTGATTGGTTAAAAATACTTTTGTATGTAATTGGACCTTGGCCACCTCATTGCCACCACGGTCGTTGGACAGCCCAGCCACCGCTGCCGCTAGACTACATACCCTTATATTTCCTGAGAACCATTTTTTAGAGACAATTAATAAAAGGATGACATCTCCACCCTGAGGTTTATTCAACATCGTCCGATCAATAAATTGGGAGCATGTAAATAAGACTTTAATCATAGATAGATAGATAGATAGATAACGAGTGAGACTCTAACTTAAGTATTTCCATGACTTAAGTATTTCCATGTAATTTAATTAGAGAGGGTGGCAATTAATTGTATATTAGGAGTGATAAATTTGGAATAACATCAGTTCTATTTATTAGAGAATTAAACTATACCTACTTGACTACTTCTATTTGTGAATCTAAACATCTTACTCGTATAGTATTTAGCATAATATCTCTTTTTTTTAAAAAAATAATAACTTTTTCTTTAAACACTAAGACATTTTTGTCGCGAGAATTAGTCCATAGGTTATATTGTAGGTCCTAAATATATACAAATATTTCATTTTAGACATGTTTCTACACAATTAAAGATTACAAAAGTATGGGGATATTGTTAGAAAAGTAGAGGAGGGTAAAAGTGTAAAAAAGGAGTAGAGTTTTAATTTTTAATTTTTGTCGTGAGAATATACGTAGTATGAATTAAAGGATAGTCGTCGTTGACTATTGACCACCGAACCACCACAATAACACACTAAATGCATGTTTGGGAGGCTTAAGTCCCGACATTCTAGCTTTTAAACGATTCATAAAGTCTCTACAAGCTTCTTTTGTATGTTTGACATGCTAATTTTTATGAATATGAATGCATTTCTAATATGTTGATAACGTGAAATGGTTCAATGACATAAATGGACATAGGATATATAATATATGTATATATTTTCAAATAAATTCTTATAATTTTTAATATTTACAACTAAACCGCCCTAATAATTTTTAATATATATAAATATACCCTCGTGTTTGTATCCTACGTGTTTTTGTTTTGACGTGTCTCCATACTTGTTTTCGTGTTTCTGCATTACGCATTCTTGAATCAGTGCTACATAATGCATCACCATCGCAACCAAATTATTTAAAAATTTATGACTTCCAAACTTTCGAAAATTGTCATTGTCTTTAATTCAAAATTTCGAATATTACATGAAATTCAAGGTATTTGCAATTAAGAATTATATTAATTCCATCAAAATCTAGATGTCCTCACTCTTTTCAAATTCTAGATGTCCCCACTCTTGAATAATGGACTCAAACAAATTCTATGAATGGATGACCTAAAAACACTACTTACATTTTTATTAAAACTCCATTGTTTTTTAAAATTAGTTTTCAACTTCTTGCTGAGAACTTGGCAGTGTTTAACTATCAGTGTGATTCTCCTGAAAAATGTGCTAAGAACTTGAGAACACATGCAATCATTTTAGCAGTTTCCCGTGTGTGGTGATGTACAGATCGATGGCTTTTGGAACATGTCAGATCGTTCAATGAATGCGATTTATTTCTCTCAAGGATTTGGGGTGACTTCTCGGATGCTCAAGTTTAGTTTGGTGAAATCGGGATAACCTGATGTTAATAAAAGGGTAATATGAGTATTTTTCTTGGAAAATCACTCTAAAGCACTAGCTTAAAAACACCTCTTGTTTTGAGCCTCCTTTTCTAGATATCCTGTGTCTTTTGAATCTTTCCTTGAAGATGTTTTAGTATTCATCCTATTTTATAGCCTTGTCAATGAAGTGATTAACTGGTTCAAGATGGGAGTATCGAAGCAGGGGAGAATGCTTAGGTTTTATGCTTTGAGACTTGTGTGTAAGGAAATGCAACCCCTAGTTATTTGTACTTCAGAGACAAATCTTAGACATTTTTTACATTATGTAATTAGCCAAGATAATTCAGATAAAGAATGCCTTTTGTGATATATTTTGAGTAAAGAATGTTCTTTTGTGGATAATTTACATTATGGAAGTGGCTAAAACAATGAGTCACCTGTGGATAACTTATGTCAATGGTATAATGAATATCTATGCTATCAATGTGTGTTATATTCATTTGTGTTGTGTTCATGTGTCGTTTGTATATACATGGTACAAATTAAAAAAATATCAAGATGGAGAAACACAAAGATAAAAAGATGTTTACATAATCTATTCTAAGATTTTTCACTTGCTTTTATTCTCCAATTTGCATACAATCCATGTTTAAATATAAAAGGTAGTGAAAATGAAATGTTTGGTAATGGTTACACCTCCTTTATGGAAATTCATTTTTCCTTTCACAAAGAATGACAAGAAGATAAGTTATGATATCACTTTTGACAAACACAATTTCCATCATATAGGAAACTACACAGAGCATTTAACCAAAGTAAGATTCGTATAGATCATTTTGTTCCAACACACTACAAATTTTACAATTCAAAATGGTAGGTTACATTATATCATTCCATAGAGTACACATTTGACCATACAAATTCCTACAAAAGCTACAAATGTAATAGATTACCCCTTCCATAGAGTACACAAATCAACATAGAGTTACTACCATAGCTAGTATTGAAACTTGAGTTTTAGACCTAATTTTCTTACTTTCAACAATCTTTGACTACAATGATACTTTTGAATGAGAAACTTTGTGAAAAACATGTATTACTTGATCTGTAAAATCACAAATCAATTTTTCATCTCCTTCAAGCATGATTTTTAATTTTACCTTCACTCCCCCATTTCCAAATGTCATATTTCGACGCCTTCTTCATCGGCAATGTCATATCTCGAGGCAACGAATTGACAGCCTCCTTCCCACGTCAATTCACAATCACTATAATAACCATCAAGAAGAGTACAAGATAATGGTTATCTACAATCCCCATAACTTGTGCTTTCTACAAAATGATTGAACTACGTACTCAAAGAATGTAAACAATTGTCATAAATGAGAGTACAAATGTTCCGGAATTCTAAAACAGGAGCACTATATTTTTATTTTCTAAATAGGAGTAATCTATGCTTGGAAAGATTGCCAATTAAGATATTATACTATTACATTTAAAATGTGGTAATATTAAAACATGGAAGTAAAATTTTAGGATGACACTAACGTACTCCTATTATTTTCAAAAAAAACCGGGTACTCGTTCTTATTTTTACATTTTTTTTTTTACATTTTTGAGAATTTTCCCAAAAAGTGTTCACATACAAAAAATAAGTTAGTTCCCTAGTTAATAATTGAACTCAGAAAAACATAAACCTCGAAAATAAGTAAGCTTCACTTACTTCAACCTTGGTATTTCATCTTATGAAACTCTAAAAGTAAACCCCTAACAACTTATTTCACCTCCTCATCATTCCCTCCATCTTTATTTTGTTTATCCAATAGCCATGTATAAGCCCGATCGACATCTTTCAAGCTACTTGTAAGTTCCTTGTACTAACTATAATGAATATTGAAATAAAACATTTAATAGTTATAATACTCATAGATGATATTATTATTACTAGTATAATTAACAATAGAATAAATAAACAATAAACCTTCTTTTTCATTAAACCGCCCTAGCTTGATGACCCAACATGTGGTTATACTTGTTCATCATTCTTTTTTCCCCTTGTTTCTCTTTTACTAGGATCAATTAAGTAGCATCATCAAAATTAACTAATAGGTTAAGTATTTTCTTCTTTGAGACTTTTCAGAACAAAGAGACTAAAATTATGCTAGAAGTTTGAGTTAATGCATTGGTGGGTATGTGTTTAATTGTACTCTTTTGGAGGTAAACACAACTTCTTCTCATTGTTCTTGTGCGGCAAGATGAATTCATCTCATAAAGAAGACTTGAAATTCATCAATGCTACTGTTATAGTACTCAAATCATGCTTCTTACGCTTAGAACTCAAGACAAACAATTTCTGAAACATAAAAACATAATGAAATTGTCGGTGCAGTGACCTAAATAAAAATAAAGTAGCCAAAAACTGTTACTTGTTACTCGAGTATGCTCCCACATGTTATCTTTTACGTCACCCGGTACTAGTCTCCATTCATCATATATTATCTCTAACTAAAACTCGTGTATAATTGGCCAACTCCGTCTAGCCATCACCTGAAAGAACACCAAACTCATTCCCCTGTAAACCACTATGTCATAACTAGCCTTCTTGAGAAAAAGTTTCTTTTTTTGTCTTTTGTCTCCTACACGGTCTCACAACATACTCATCCTCAACCTCAGTCTCCCTATCATTCGGATCTGTTTTAGCAGCGGGCATAACTGGTTATGTGATCCTAAAGTAAAACATAGATTGAAATCCAGTCAAGGCTTAAGAAGTTATATATACATATCATGATACAAATATGAATGTAGAATAGTATATTAAAATAGGACTAAAGCACTATAGCCACTTACGTAAGTTCACGCATAAGTGGTGTGGGGTATTTGAAGGTTAGAAGTTCATGTAACTATAACACCCCAACCCCGCAGAGTCTAAGGTCACTACTCCTGAATGTCATCCAGACTCAGTACTATCCTTTCACACAAACACAAGCCTTTTGCCGCACACTTTGTCGTCTCTAGCTAGCGCACGCCCCAAGAAACTCCATAGGGGGTCACCCATTCTAAGGTTACTCCTGTGCAAGCACGCTTAACTTGAAGTTCTTAGCACATGAGCTCATTAAAAGGAGATGCACCTTGTTAGTAAGATTAGTACTGTTAATCCTTTTAAGCTAATCTCAAGTATTATAATAACCATATCTTCGCTTTTACCATGTAAACTTTTTTAGCACGGATATGAGATATGGGATTGCGGAAACACGGATACAAGATCACGAAAATAGGTATGGGGATACGGAGAAACAATAAAATAGCAGAAGTGTTAAGCACGCCTCTATTGCTTTAAATTTGATTTAAAGTAAAAAATCAATACATGTTTATTCAAATCAATCGGCAACATATACGTACAACATGTTGAAAACACGCGCATAAGGAAATAAATTAGCAAGAGAACAATCAAGATGCTCATTCATTTACTAAATTTGTCACATTCAATTGATGTTTTGTACCGTGAACTATAAATTTCAATAAATTAGATATTCCTTAATTATATATGTATCTTGTGTTCTTGGCATAAGATTAGGATCATAGCTGGTGGTGTTCTTCGCAAAAAATCTAGAGAGGTTGTCATGTATGGCGTAGAAGCATCAGGCCCAAAAGATTGACGGTCCAAAGCACCTTGGAAGGATTGGGTCACTGTTGGGCCAGAATATAAGTAGTATATTACAATTATTATTAATTATCATAAAAAGACATAAGCTGTAATTGAATTGTCAGAGTTTGTTATCAAGGGTCCCCACCACTCTATTTTACAGTACCCCATTATATAAGCATGTATAAGGAACGGATAGAGGAAGGAATAAAAATTCCTAATTTCTCTCCTTCTGTTATTCTCTTCGTCTCTTCCCGATCATTCTCCTTTTCTTTTGCTCTCTTTCCCTACTGATCACCTTAAAATTGGATCAAAACAGCACATTTGGTATCAGAGCATTCAGCGCGATCCTCGTAGATGGCTGAAGGAACTCGAGTAAAGGAATGCCTTGAAGGACAAAAAAAACTGGAGCAAACATTCATGGCTGAGATGTTGAAAAGAGAAGCCATGGATCAAAAACATGGGGAGTTGCAGCAAAAACAACAAGAAGTACAGATAGAGATACTAAGGCAGTTAAGTCAAATCCAACAAAGACTTGATACCATCGAGAATCGTTCTGAAATGGATAAACCTCCGCCAACTACTGAAGGAGGAGGAACTGCACAAAGCGGATCCATTCTGGGAACTCCTCCATTCCTGAAGACCTTACACCACCTGCATAATGACCCAACATCAAACATTAGTAAGCAATCTGATCATACCTATCATTACCAAACCCATGTTCCTTTTCCAAAACTGGATTTCCCCAGATTTGACGGTACACAACCAAGAGCCTGGGCGGTTAAGTGTCAGGGATATTTCAAACTAATGTCTCATGTTCCAATGGAACAGAGAGTGATTCTGGCTACCATGCACTTCGATGGGAGAGCCCTCACTTGGTTTCAGCATTTGGAAAAGGATTTAACCGGACTTACCTGGGAACAATTTATGGAAGTAATCTCGGCCAGGTTTGAAGGGCTGAAGGAGTCAGTTGTAATAGAAGAATTTAATAAGCTGAGAATGGGGGCTGATTTTGAAGCTTATGTTGAAAAGTTTGAGGAATTAAAGTCTTGTATGTTAATGACTCACAAGGGGTCCTTTAGTGAATCATATTTCATCTCAAGTTTCATTAGTGGACTTAGTGATGAACTAAAGGCTTTTGTGAAGATGTTCAGGCCAACCACAGTGGATTCCACCATTGAACTAGTAAGGAATCAGTTAATGACAATAGACGCTCTAACAAGGAAACTGAAGGGACCTGGAAAAACACATCCTACTCAGCCCGGTTTTCTTAAGAAAGGAGAAACTAAGGAGGAAGGCAATAACAACACCAAAATTCAACTGGCGGCCCCTAACCCCCCATTCAAACTGCTCACTCAAAGGGAAATGGCTACAAGACGAGAAAAAGGATTATGTTACAATTGTGATGAAGTTTTCTCCCCAGGGCATAGGTGCAAACATAGACAAGCCTATGTCATATTGGCAGGAGATGATGTAGGGGAGGAAACCAGTGAAGGGGAGAATATGGAACCCCAAGATATAGAGGGAATTATGCTAGTAAGTATTGGGAGTGCTCAAAAGAGACAAGGGCCTACCACCATGGTGCTTGATGGAAAGGTAGGCAAGCACAAGATCCACATCTTAATTGACTCTGGAGCCTCTGCCAGTTTCATGAGCTCACAGACTGTCCATAACCTGGGATGCAGGGAAGTGCCTATGAAGCCAGTGCAGATTACAGTAGCTGATGGTGCCAAGCTCAAAAGCAATTCTAAGGTAACCAATTTCACTTGGGGAATGCAGCAACATCAGTTCACTTATGATTTCAGAGTATTACCTAGCACTGAATTTGACTTGATATTGGGTGGAGATTGGTTGAGGGAATTGACCCCCATTGAATTGGACTATAATAATATGGTGGTTACTGTAACCTGTGAAAATCAGAGAATTCCTATTCAATGTGAAAAGAAATATAAATTGATTTCTTTTCATAGCCTTTACAAGCTGATTTGTGAGGAGGCCCCTAGTTCTGTGGAGGAAGTTTTTTGGATTAAGTGGAAGGACACTAGTCACAAGGAGGTTACAGAATTGGAAGGTGTTTTACAAGAGTTTGAGGATATCTTTGAAGAACCTAAATCACTTCCTCCCTCGAGAGGAGTTGAACACCAAATCATGCTGAAACCTGGAAGTCTCCCCAAACAACAATACCCTTACAGGGCATCTCATGCACAAAAGGATGAAATTGAGAAGATAGTGGAGGAGCTACTCAAGTCTGGAGAAATACAACCCAGTAAGAGCCCCTTTTCCTCACCTGTACTGCTTGTAAAAAAGAAAGATGGGACTTGGAGAATGTGTGTAGACTATAGGTATCTAAATAGTCTCACTATCAAACATAACTACCCAATACCCCTTATTGATGATCTGTTAGATGAGTTAAGGGGTGCTAAATACTTTTCAAAGATTGATTTGCGTTCAGGTTATTTCCAGATTTTAATGGCTCCAGAACACAGATATTTAACAGCTTTCAGGACCCATAATGGACACTATGAGTTCTTAGTAATGCCTTTTGGGCTGTGTAATGCTCCTGCAACCTTCCAGTCTCTCATGAATCAAATATTTAAGGAGTTTCTCAGGAAGTTTGTACTAGTATTCTTTGACGACATTCTGATCTATAGTACATCATGGGAGGAGCATATTCAGCACTTAAGGGCAGTTATGTTGATGTTAAGAAAACACAAACTCTATGCTAAAAAAAGTAAATGTCACTTTGGGCAAGAATCTATTTCCTATTTAGGGCACATCATCAACAGAGAAGGGGTAGCTACTGACCCTGAAAAAATTGAATGCATGACTGATTGGCCAACACCTAAAAACCTCAAGGAGCTAAGAGGATTCCTGGGTCTCACTGGCTACTATAGGAAGTTTGTGAAAGGGTATGGCATTGTCAGTAGGCCACTTACTACCCTATTAAAGAAGGGGTCTTTCAGGTGGGGGAAAGAGGCAGATCAAGCCTTTCAGGAACTCAAGATAGCCATGACTACCACTCCCATATTAGCCTTACCAGATTTCTCCCAACCCTTTACTATAGAGACTGATGCTTGTGGAGAGGGGGTTGGAGCTGTACTGATGCAATCTGGAAGACCCCTAGCATTTCTGAGTAAGAAACTATCACCCCAACATTTGGGGTTATCCATATATGAAAAAGAATTCATGGCTGTACTCATGGCCATACAGAAATGGAAACATTATATTCAAGGAGGAAGGTTCATAATCAAAACTGATCAACAATCACTCAAACACTTGTTGGATCAAAGAATCTCCACTCCATTACAACAGAAGTGGATCACCAAACTTCTAGGACTGGATTATGAAATTCATTATAAAAGGGGGACTGAGAACAAGGTAGCTGATGCACTTTCCAGAAAGGAAAAAGATATAGAAAGATGTGGGGCAATTACTGAGGTACAACCTGTTTGGGTCCAACAAGTTAAGGAGAGCTATGAGGAAGACAATGAACTTTCCAAGATCATTCAAGCCAAGAGAATCAGTCCAGATGCTCATCCAGAGTATGAACTGATTGGTGATATACTGAGGTATAAAGGGAGGCTAGCACTGGGAAATTCTACAGAGCTAAGGCACACCATATTCAGAGAATTACATGCCTCAGCGATTGGGGGACATTCAGGGGTGCAGGCTACTATTAGTAGAATAAAGAAAGTCTTCTTTTGGCCCAAAATGGCAATGGATATTGGTCAATGGGTTAAGGAATGTGAAGTTTGTGCTATCACAAAACCAGAAAAGGGGCCATATCCAGGGCTCCTACAACCTCTACCTATACCAGACCAAGCATGGAGTAACATTAGCATGGATTTTATAGAGGGGTTACCCAAGTCACAAGGAAAAGATGTGATTTTGGTAGTAGTTGATAGATTGACAAAATTTGGGCATTTCTTACCTTTATCACACCCATATACTGCTCAGACTGTGGCAAAGGTATTCCTAGACACTGTATTTAAGTTACACGGGCAACCCTTAAGCATAATTACTGACAGGGGAACAGTGTTTATGAGTGAATTTTGGAAGGGTTTCTTTAAACTTATGGGTACTACATTGAGCTACACTTCAAGCTATCACCCTCAGACAGACGGGCAAACAGAGAGATTAAATCAATGCCTGGAATCCTATCTAAGGGCATTAACTCATCAGAATCCTAAACAATGGTTGGGCTGGCTACCTATGGCAGAGTACTGGTATAACACTAACTACCATACCAGCACAAAAATGACTCCTTTTGAGGCTCTTTATGGATACACCCCACCCACATTCTCATTACCAAACCCACCGACTGACAGTAATGTGGAATTCAAGGAATTCATCATACAAAGACAACAAAAGAGACAGGAACTCAAAGAAAATCTGAGACTAGCACAAGAAAGGATGAAGTTCTTCGCTGATTCACACAGGAAAGATAGAGAATTTGCAGTGGGAGATCAAGTCTACCTAAAATTACAACCCTACAGACAGGGTTCAGTACAACTACGCCGAAATCAAAAGCTAGCAGCTCGCTACTATGGCCCGTACACCATTCTAGAAAGAATAGGGAAAGTGGCTTACCGCTTGGATTTACCAGAAGAAGCCAGGATTCATCCGGTGTTCCACGTTTCCTTGCTAAAGCGTTGCATCAGTTCACGAGCAGTAATATCATCTCATCTTCCGATAGTCAACAAGGATGGTCCTTCCTGCGTGTACCTGCAAGAAGAAGAATCAGTCAACAGCCAGGTGAACATTACCGCCAACAAACTTATTCAAACCGTTCCAATCCTTGAGGACAAGGATTCGTCAAAAGGGGGAGGTATTGTCATGTATGGCGTAGAAGCATCAGGCCCAAAAGATTGACGGTCCAAAGCACCTTGGAAGGATTGGGTCACTGTTGGGCCAGAATATAAGTAGTATATTACAATTATTATTAATTATCATAAAAAGACATAAGCTGTAATTGAATTGTCAGAGTTTGTTATCAAGGGTCCCCACCACTCTATTTTACAGTACCCCATTATATAAGCATGTATAAGGAACGGATAGAGGAAGGAATAAAAATTCCTAATTTCTCTCCTTCTGTTATTCTCTTCGTCTCTTCCCGATCATTCTCCTTTTCTTTTGCTCTCTTTCCCTACTGATCACCTTAAAATTGGATCAAAACAGCACAGAGGTGGATTTGTGTTCTTTGCACACAATCGAGAGACAGCGATATTCTTCGCATAAGCTATAGAGCAGATGGCTTGGTGTTCGTACATGATAGAGAGTTGTGGTGTCCTTCGTAGACGATCAAGATTCGCCAGTGATGTTTTTCATGGATGATCGAGCCATGTTCTTCGTATGTTTTCAAACAACAACGAGGCGCAATTGAAGGCCCTGATTAGGGGGTGTATAATCTTCGAAGGTTAATGACATTCGGTATATATCTAGATTTCACTATTTGGGTTTCTTTAGTGAAAGAGTAGAGAGTGAGAGGTTTATTTTGTTGGATCAAGTAAATCATATGAAAAAAATAATGGAATGACTAAAAATAGATAGATGTAACTAGGGGAGTATATTTTCTGGAGGAAAATGAAAAGTGAATATTTTGGTAAGGCTAAAATTCTGCACTTCTTATGTAGTATCGTTTTTTATGTGTTACTGTGTATTGATGTTTTTATGACATATATGAATGATACTTATACCTAGTTAATACTACTCACTCTATATTTTAAAGTTTGTTGCACTTTTCTTTTTGAGATTTATCTATATTCTCTTTATACTTTTACTCTATCTCTCCTAGCTTTTTTACACTATTTATTACCCCTGCCTCTTTCCTCCTTAAAAAATGTGTCAAAGCCTATTATAGTAAACTTTAAAATACATAGCGATCGAGTATATGTCGAGTATATGTCGTATGTAAATGACACTATAGAAGACTGTGTCACTAAAAACGTATCATTGTAAGAAAGTTTTTTACTAGTGAATCAATAAATTAAATAAGGTGATGGGTTTGAATGAGAGACTTAAATCAATTGTTCTAGCTAGCAATTTAGTTTATCGCGGTTTAGTTGATGTTGAAGAAGTATCAAAATTCAAAATCAAGTATCCTGCAATTTAAACATGACTAGCTTGCAGATATTTTAGAGCCCGTTTGGTAATACCTAAATTGCATGTATTTACCGATTCTGCTAAAATTAATGAAGTTTTGACTGAAGTGGCTGGATTGGCTGATTCTGCCGATTCATGAAAAAGTAATATTTAAAATGTATTTTATTTATAAAATATAGAAAAAATTATATGAAAAAACAGTTAAAATGGCCCTCTACACAGTAACTTCAGTCAATACAACCAGAAAAGTAACTTCAACCTTACTTTTTCTTATTATTACACAATTGAGCGTGCGAGATCAACAATTACGTTTTTGGTGAAAATTTTGGCGGATAAGTCTGATAACCCAAAAAAAGAGTCTCAAAACGGGCTTTTGGTTTTTATATAATCATATACACTAAACTAAACTAAACTTCTACATGATATGTTTTCATTAAAATGTACTACCTTAGTTCTTAAATAACTTATTTGTGTTTAGAAATTGAATTCGGATGTGACAAAAACTCCAAAATAATTTTGAATATATAAAGTATTGGAAAAAAATTGTGATCCTAGTAACTTTAGTGACGATAATTGTATTTATATATTACATCATAATGACTATAAAACTTACACATCGTAATTTACATAATCACATTTTTGTCCATAAATTTTAATTAGTAATAATTTAGGAAAATCCCTAAACACTACATACTAATTAAAAATAGGTGATCATACCCGTACCAGTGGGGGGGGGGGGTTCGATCTGCAATGGTGCACCCCAAACTGCTCTTGGATTCCAGAAACAATGGTTAGATTCAAATCGATAGGCAAAAATCAATTTCTTCATGAACATCAATCTTTGCACATTTTGAGTTCGTTTTTTGTGAGTTTCTGGGCTCGATACATCCTTCTGCCTTAAAATCCAAGCTCGTAAATAGGATTAGGAATAAATTTAGTCTAGAAAACAACAAGATAACCCAGAATTCACCATCCCAATTCATGGTTACGATGAAGAACGTACCGTGAGAGCCTGGACGGTTCCAGGGAGAGCAGCTCCTAAATGGGTTTGGGTTTTCAAAAGAGTTGGCGGTGTGAAGAACGTTGTATTCTGCCAGAGAAGCCATAGAAGATTGGAAGAAATGGCTATGGCGGTGTGCGCGAAGAAGGTTATATTCCGCCAAAGAAGAAATCGGAGCTCATAACCTGGTAATTGACGGAAGGAAGCCGTTAATTCAAGGTTGACGTCAATAGTGTCCAAATGTGATGCAAAAACCTAAAGTTTGTGTTAATTTGGTCTACTTAGAAGGTTAGTGTCCAATATGAGTTTTGTAAATAACCTTGATTTCAATTTTGGACCTTCTCCCATTTTTTATTAGTAATATTTTAGAAGAAACCACCAAACACTCCATACTGAAAATATGTAATCATCAGGGCCGGCCCGGGCTTGTTAAGGGCCCTGTTCAAAATAAAAATAAGAGGCCCCAAAATATATTAAAACTGTTACAAAAAATTGTGGCTCATCCATATCAAAATACGGAGTAAATCTTATCATGAGCTTACTTTGCTATATTATTAATCCTTGTTACTTCGTATATCTTTCATACACTTAGTGATACGGAGTATTTTTTAATGGTATGAAGAATATTAAAATAGATAAATGAAAAACATAAAAGATAAGCACAACAATGCTCAACCACGAACTTTTCAATTTGCTTAATGGACGCTATAAGTTGGCACTTAAACTACACAACACATGTAGCCAAAATATTAAAGATACATACTTAAGAATGCACTTAGAAAAAATTAAATTAAAAACGACTTCTATTTTCCCAACAAAAAGAAGTACGGAGTATCATCCAGAAAAGAGTATAAGCTGAATTTATTTAAAAACTTGGAAGGGATCCTAGAACTAAAATCAAATTACTAATTGAATATCTAAGTCTGTAAACAATCAAAAAATTACTTTGCATACGCCAAAAAAAACCATCGTAGGGAGTGAAGTGGAGAGCAGAGGGCTAGAGCTTCATAGGCTTAAATATTTGACAAAAGAGACGGACCAATGAGAGAAAAAAATAGAAGTGATCTCAAGAAGAGATTCCAGAAAGTCTTAAATATGGAAGAAATTGTTTGAGAAATTCATTCTTTCGAAGAGTTATCAATTCAATCGAGGATGTCGTGACTCAAGTTCGTTCTTCCGACTTCTTAAGAGTCAATACCGTTTATAAAGTCTCGTAAATGTTGATTTTTTTCTCTAATAGCTAGGTTAAATAAATAGATTAAATTTTGGGGGCCTTCCTTAAATGGGGCCCTGTGCAACAGCACCACTTGCACTTGCATATGGCCGGGCCTGGTAATCATACCCGTACGGATAGCTCAGTTGGTCGAGTCATGAGATCGAAACTCGCAGCAACCGTGTGGATGTTACAACTTATTTTTATTAGACTGGACTTCTGATGCACACGGTTACAAAGTTATCACCATTAAACTCACTAAGTCGCCGTGACTTACAATCTCTCAAATGCTTTGTCAGATTGGGACGTTGCCGCGTTGGGCTTTGGGTTGGGGTTCAATTTGGAAAATAAAAATAAGTGATCACAAGACATCCAAAGCGGTTGATTTTTTTATCATTCTCTTCAACAAAGGCAAATTATATTCTGAAATTAAAATAAATGTCCATGTCCATATTCTGAAATTAGTGTTTGGTAAAATTAGTGTTTGGTGAGAATAAATTCTGTGACTGAGCATTATTTTAATTAGAATGAGATGTTAATAAATTCTTTAGAGCAGGCGTGCCGTCATTAAGGCTTTGTTTGCAACCACTTGTGTTTAAATAAAAACACTTTTTGATAAAAAGTGATTAGTAGTAAAAGTTGATAGTGTTTGGTAAAATTAGTGTTTGGTAAAAAAACACCTTATGGTCACATAATGTTTTGCAAAGATAAGAGAATAACTCGGAATAACGGGTCATCTACCGGTCAGGGACCGTCGAATGAAGATGGGGTGCAAAGGTTGGATTATTTATTAGAGTGGGCTTTGCTATAAACCGTATGTATTTATTTGTACATGGGCTAAGGGCTCAATTTTATTAGAGTTAGCAACTTGTACTCATATATATAGATGTACTCGGTTCCTTTGTAGAATAAGAGAAAAAGATTTTACCTAATAAAACATATTCTTCCCTAAATTGTAGCATGGTATCAGAGAGGTAAGGGGAACGAGTACTGCCTCTTCTTCGCAGACTTCTGCCGGAAGCACCAGCGTGCTCGACGCCGAGTTGCAGGATGACAGACTCGACTTCCGCCTATTATTTGGGACCCGGAGATCAACCCGGCAACCAAATCACTCATGTCGTGTTCAAGGGTGACAACTACGTTTCCTGGTCGCGGGCCATTACTCTGGCTTTGAAGGCTCGCCGGAAACACCCGTTTATTGACGGAACCATAAAAAAACCCAACGATGAAGCGAGATTATCCGATTGGGAGACGGTCAATTCCATGATCGTCTCATGGTTGCTGCGATGCATGGACCCGGCGTTGGCAGCTTCGATTCCGTTTCATGACGAAGCACGAGCTTTGTGGGTGTATCTTGAAAATCGTTTCAGCGTCGCCAATGGACCAAGACTGCAACAACTTCGTGCCTCCATCACGGGCTGCCGGCAGTCGAAGTCGATGAGCGTGGACGCATATTACACAACGTTGATGAGTTACTATGATGAATTGAATCGATTAAAACCCCTGCACGTGTGTACATGTGGTCGATGTACCTGCGGTCTTGCCGCCAAATTTGCCGCCGACCGAGACGAAGAACAATTGCATCAATTCTTGGTCGGAATTGATGATGAAGTGTACGGAACTGTGCGGTCTAATCTCCTCTCGCATACGCAGTTACCGGATTTGAATAGAGCTTATCAAGCCTTCTTGCAAGAAGAAAATTCTAGGGCTGTTGCTCGTGGGAAGGCGGCCGAAGTTGATACCCAGGCTTTTGCACTCCAGACGGACAGGTCAGCTAAAGGGAAGCAGGAGAGGACTGATCGCACCAAATTAGTTTGTACACATTGCAAGAAAAAGGGCCATGACATTGGGTCTTGTTTCAAATTGTTGGGCTATCCAGATTGGTGGGAAAATAAGAACCGGCCCAATGATGCACCTACTGGCCGTGGAGGGGGGGTCAAAACCCACGCCGTGACTGCTTCCGGTGTTGGCACTTCCTCTAAGGTCGAAACAACGGGGCTGCCCGAATTAAGCAAAGAGCAGGTTCAAGCTTTGCTTAATTTAATTAATACCAAAACCCGCTCATGTGATCGTATGTCTGGTAAGTTTGACTGGATTATTGATACGGGTGCATCCCATCATGTTACTGGTGATATATCCTGTCTCACAGATAGAACTATTATTGGTGCACGTTTGGTAGGATTGCCCGATGGGCACAGTGTTGCGGCCATGTTGGAGGGGCGGGTTCACCTCACTAAAAATCTTATTTTGGAGCACGTTCTTTATGTTCCTGGACTGACATGTCACCTTATTTCTGTATCTCAATTAATTGATCAATTGGCGTGTTTAGTTACTTTCACTGATTCATTTTGTGCTATACAGGACCGTCCCTCGAAGAGCCTGATTGGAGCAGGTGAGAGACGAGATGGGCTGTATTTTTTTCGGGGGGTACCTGTGTTGCATGCCATACACACTTCAGCTTTGCCTGCGTTTGAATTATGGCACCGCCGCTTGGGTCATCCTTCTGATCGCGTGATTAAATTATTACCTGCTATTAGCACTAGTTCATCTGTCAAACGTTTGAATAAACCTTGTGCGGTGTGTCCACAAGCCAAGCAAGTGCGTGAGTCTTTTCCTCATAGTAGTAATAAAGCAAGTAGAATTTTGGAATTAATTCATTGTGACTAGTGGGGTCCTTACAAAACCCCCTCTACTTGTGATGCTACCTATTTCATGACTTTAGTTGATGATTATTCTCGTGCTGTGTGGGTTTATCTGCTTCGTGATAAGACAAAAGTATACCGTTTTTTTCTTTCATTTATTGCCATGATTGAAAAACAATTTGAAGTTTCGGTCAAGACAGTGCGCGGTGATAATGGTACAGAGTTTAAATGTTTGTTGTCCTATTTTGAGCAACGTGGCATCCTCTTTCAAACATCATGTGTGCACACACCTCAACAAAATTGTAGGGTGGAGCGTAAGTGTCACGCCCCGGACCTCCCCGAACACGTCAACAACCCGCCGTACAATACGAATAGCCAACCGCAGTCCAACACATTCATATTATACAAGGCGTCATGAATATCATTCACACATAAGTCATCCATAAACATACATAATAAACAATTCAATACGCAGCGGAAAACATTGTTTAAAATAAAAGGGCCACACAGGGCAAACATGAGCACACAGGCTCTAAAGTAAAATATCCATGAGCATGTTTATTAATGTTCTAAAACAGGATGGAGGAAGCACGAACCAAGTCTTCTCTCCGGGGAAATCACTCAGGCAACGAGCACAGGAAGCAAGCTCTAGCCTCAACCTGAAATGGTGGTGGGACGCCCCCGAAGGGGTCAGTACTCTATACGGCTATAAAGTACTGGTGTGGCAGGCATCTAATAGATATACAACAAGTATTTCAAACACAAGACCCTCAAATAGGGTGATAGTACATTATGATTGTAACCCTAAGTTACCCCGTTTAAAAATATACTTACTTTATATAAAAGTCAAGTAGTCGGCCCGTGGGCCCATGTTCATTTGGAAATCACCATTCCCAACCCCGTGACTATAAGCCACGACAACTCCTAGAGTCCAACCCTAGTACATGACATTGTATTCTAGAGCTCGGCTCTACCACATCACCATACAATTCATATACCTCGGGTCAATTCCCTTACCTTGCGTTCTAGAGCTCGGCTCTATCACATCACCACGCAAGTCCTAGAGCTCGGCTCTAGCTATACAATACATAGACTCCAAGTCTACACCTTACATGCATTCTAGATCTCGGCTCTATTACATCACCATGCATTAAGGTCCAATTCTCAAGCAACCCTATGCCTAGAATTGACATATCATTAAACTACTTTGGGTCATCCTTAAAGACTTCCCATAACTTAACCTTAGTTCCAAACTAAGTTATTATATACACTTGAACTATATTCAAGTACCTTTCATACCATCCAATCCCTAGGATCAATTTAATCAACAAGTTCCAATAATCACTAACTAGTATTTCAATACTATTAAGATTATTGTTATCATACCATTATCCTCATTATTTGTAATTCTCTACACATTATTACTTATGTAGCAGCAACTTAAGTATTCAATCTCAATACACAAATATTCATTTATGTATCCACATAATTCATACATGAGCAAAATGCCTATTTCACAAAATAGTTCATTCATACTCATTTAATCTCATATTATTCATACGTTCTCAAATCATTTCAAATTTCATTCCTTGGCAACTATATCAATATTTCATCAATATATAATCATCATAATCCATGAAAAATCATGATTTAAGCATTTAGGTAATCTCATGCTTAACCTACAAGTTGTAAGCAATTAGATGTCAATCCTCACCTCAATTGAGCTTTAAACTTTCCCTTCTTGGTCCAATGGTCAAAGCTTTGGTCAAGGTGGATTTGGAACTAATTCCTTGCTCAAATATGAGTGTTAAACAGCCTCCTCAAAGTGCTAGTTCAACCCTTAATCGTTGATACGAAAACAGCCCCTAGAATGGGTGTTTTCCGGTTAACTCGTTTCCTAGTTTTCCAAGATTTGCTCTAGGTTAGTATCCAACCTTTACACACATAAAATAACTTTATAAGGACATATTATACACTTGAATTAGTGTATAATAGTCCCACCAATCGTTCATATCATTTGGAGAATGAAAAGTAAAGTTTTGGGGTTAAAACTCACTTTAGAAGATTAAATCCTCTCCTGCAAGGTTGTGTTTTGCTCGGACGGTTTGGAAGCCTTCCACTACTCCGATTTCTTCAAACCAGACCTTCACGGATTCCTCGTCTTGAGAGATTTCTTTTGGTATATCATACGCCTTATTTGGACGAGTGAAGCTCAAGTTATGGATCAAACAAGTAGCCCTATTTTCTGGAAAACGAGTCCTGCGGCCAGCTTCTCTCTTCACCTCTCCCTTGGAGTATGTGGCTCTCTCTTTCTCTCTTATCTTGGGAGTTCGAATGGGGTGTAGGGGGAGTGTATTAGGAGGCCTCAATCATGCTAAGAGAGCATGTGGTTCACAAAAAGAAGGATAGGGTATTTGATTGCAATCAAACATGGTGTGGACCTCCTCTTTTATTTCCTTTTTGTAATGTTGTAGTTCATGAGTCAAAAGTCCGCCCCACATAGTTGTCTCACCCATTTTCCTTTGTCTTGCAGGTACCAAGGTCATGTGGGATGATTCCCAAATGATCCCATTCAATTTGGGGTCCAAAATATCTATCAATACTCCCAAAAATGGAAAGATGGGTCCTATTGTTTTATCTTTGTCAAAAGATGTCTTTTTGTACTCATCCTAATTTATTTAGAACAAGTCAACTTCTTACATCACATTATTGATCTCCAATATGTGTAGGATCATCTCAATAATTTACATGAGGAAAATTATAAAAGAATACGAGTTTGAACAATACAATATTCAATCATGTACTACGTAAAATATTAATCGTTTTTCCATTGTTTTGAAATCGGAAATTCAATACATCACTTTGAATTTAAGAATGGAATTTTCAAGGACGTTCGGGTGCGGTGTCACAAGTTCACCCCCCCTTAACAGGAATTTCGTCCCCGAAATTCACAGTTCTAACCGAATAGGAAAGCATACTGCTTCCTCATCAAAGCCTCTGTTTCCCATGTCTCTTCTTCGACCCGATCGCTCTTCCAAAGTACTTTAACCATTGGGACTTCTTTGCTTCTCAATTTCTTTACCTTCCTATCGGTGACCTTGATTGGTTGCACGGCGTAGTTCAAATCCTCACGTACCTTTACAGGCGGCTTTTCTAATACGTGAGAGGGATCATGCACATACTTCTTAAGCATGGATACATGAAATACATTGTGTATCTTCTCTAACTCAGGAGTCAACTGTAGACGATATGCTACGGCCCCAATCCTCTCTATAATTCTGAATGGACCTATATATCGTGGGTTAAGTTTTCCTCGGGTTTGAAATCGAATGATTCCTTTCCAAGGAGAAACTTTCAAGAATACCTCGTCATCAACCTTAAACTCTAAGGTTCGTCGACGTTTATCTGCATAACTCTTTTGTCTATCCTGAGCCGCTTTGAGTCTCTCTCGAATCAACTTCACCTTTGATTTGGTGACCTCAACCAACTCAGTACCCTCGAGTTTGGCCATGCCAACCTCGTCCCAGCATAACGGTGTACGACATCTCCTCCCATACAATGCCTCGTATGGAGGCATGCCGATGCTTGCCTGATAACTGTTGTTATAGGCAAACTCCACAAGTGCTAAGTGGTTGTCCCAACTTCCTTGGAACTCCAATGCACAAGCCCTCAGCATGTCTTCTAGGACCTGTATGACTCTTTCAGACTGCCCATCCGTCTGTGGGTGGAAAGCAGTACTGAACTTCAACCTCGTTCCCATAGACTCCTGAAATTTTGGCCAAAAATGTGATGTGAATCGTGGGTCTCTATCAGATACAATGGTCACTGGGACCCCGTGCAGCCTCACGATCTCATCCGTATACAATTTGGCTAACCTCTCAAGTGGGTAAGTAGTGTTGATAGGCAAGAAGTGTGCACTCTTCGTGAGCCTATCTACCACAACCCAAACTGCATCATAGTTCCTGATTGTTCGTGGTAAACCTACCACAAAATCCATAGTCACGTGTTCCCACTTCCATTCAGGAATGGAAAGTGGTTGCAATAAGCCTGCTGGATGCTGATGTTCTGCCTTAACTTGTTGACAAGTAAGGCATCGACTGATATATTCGGCTATTTCTCTCTTCATACCCGACCACCAGTAACCCTCCTTCAAGTCGCGGTACATCTTCGTGCCCCCCGGGTGCATGGCATAAGCCGATGAATGAGCTTCCTCTAAGATGGACTTTCGGAGCTCATCATCTGCCGGTACACACACTCGGTCACGAAATAATAAAAGACCGTCGTCTCTTTCCCTGAAGTCCTCCACCGGTCCCGCTTGCATGCGTTCCCTGATCTTCATGATTTCATCGTCAGTTTCCTGACCCTTCTTGTTCTCATCAAGCAAAGTAGGTCTCACCTCAAACCGTGCCAATAAGGCACCATTACTGGACACCTCCAGTTGGGCTATTAATGCCCTCAAATTAGCTATCAATGCCCCAGATGAGCTCTTCCGGCTCAAAGCATCTGCCACCACATTTGCCTTGCCTGGATGGTACTCAATCACTAAATGGTAGTCCTTTATCAACTCCATCCACCGTCTCTGCCTCATGTTTAACTCCTTCTGAGTAAACACGTACTTCAAGCTCTTATGGTCAGTGTATATGTGACATGTCTCTCCGTAGAGATAATGTCTCCAAATCTTCAGTGCGAACACCACTGCTCCCAACTCTAGATCATGGGTGGGGTAATTTACCTCATGCTTCTTCAACTGTCGTGAAGCATAGGCAATTACCCTCCCCTCCTGCATTAACACACATCCAAGCCCTTGGATGCTCGCGTCACTATAGACATCGTACCCCATACCCTGTTTGGGTAATGCAAGTACCGGTGCCTCGGTCAATTTCTTCTTCAGTTCAGTGAATCCTTTCTCACATTTGTCATCCCATACAAACTTAGCTCCTTTTCGAGTGAGCTTCGTCAACGGTGATGCCAAAACCGAGAACTTCTCCACGAACTTTCTATAGTATCCTGCCAATCCAAGGAAACTACGAATTTCCTTGACGTTCTTTGGCCTCTCCCATTCGGTGATGGCTTCTATCTTCTTGTTATCAACAGCAATTCCCGATCCTGAAACCACATGCCCGAGAAAACCAATCTCCTTAATCCAAAATTCACATTTAGAAAATTTGGCATAGAGTTGCTTCTCCCGTAGTGTCTCAAGAACGAGTATCAAGTGCTCCTCATGCTCTTCCTCACTCTTTGAGTAGATCAAGATGTCATCAATGAACACAATCACGAATCGGTCCAAGTATTTGTGAAATACTCGGTTCATCAAGTCCATGAATGCCGCTGGGGCGTTTGTTAACCCAAACGACATAACAAGGAACTCAAAATGCCCATACCTCGTGCGAAAAGCACTCTTCGGTATGTCATCCTCCTTAATCTTCAATTGATGGTACCCCGACCTCAAGTCAATCTTTGAAAACACGGTTGCTCCTCGTAGTTGATCAAACAAGTCATCAATCCTAGGCAAAGGATACCTATTCTTGATTGTGACCTTGTTCAGTTGACGATAGTCAATGCACATTCGAAGTGTTCCATCCTTCTTTTTCACAAAAAGAACCGGTGCTCCCCACGGGGAGTGGCTTGGTCTAATGAAACCGTTATCCAAAAGCTCTTGCAATTGGGTTTTCAACTCGTTAAGTTCAGCGGGTGCCATGCGGTACGGCGGTATGGAGATTGGTTTGGTGCCGGGCTCGACCTCGATCACGAACTCAATCTCCCTATCGGGTGGAAGTCCCGGTAAGTCTTTTGGAAAGACATCCGGATACTTGCATACTACCCTCACATCATCAATGCTCGCCTCTTCCTTGGTTTTGTCTATCACATAAGCTAGATAAGCGTGACATCCCTTTCTCATCATACTCCTAGCCCTTACGGCGGATATGATACAACTATTGGATTTGGCCCTATCCCCCTCGAAGCGTAAGGTTACCCCTTCGTCGCTTTCGAGTTCAAGTACTTTCGTGTAACAATCGACCCTAGCATGATGCTTCTCAAGCCAATCCATCCCCAGGATTGCATCAAATTCAATCATACTCAGCGGCACGAAATCACACGACAAGTTTTGGCCCTCCACTTCCACCTCACACGATGGATAGTGGCTATCTCTCTCGATGTCTTCCCCTAGGGGTGTGGATACCAATAGGGCTTGAGCCATCGGTACCAGGGGTACGTTGAATCCCCCGGCGAATGCCTCACTCACAAATGATCGTTGCGCCCCGGTATCGATGAGGATTCTCGCACATCTCCCATTAATCTTTAGTGTTCCTACATTTATAAGCCATGTAAGATACCTCTCTAACATACCGACCAATCCTACGAAGAACATAATGCGAGATTATGTCCTTAGAGTGGGCAAAATCCCCCAATTATAGTTGACGTTCGCAGTTGAGATATAAATTGACACCGTCTCACCGTTTTGATCATATCTCTTCACACACTTAACCAAATCGTTCGATTCAAATTCCATCATTTAGACAATGAAAATATCTACAACTTTCATGAAGACAACTTTTTCATTTGACGAACACCTCGAGGTGTACCCGGTCGGGTAACATACTATACCCGGTCGGGTATGAGTTCCAGTGGGTGTCTGGAAAAATTTTTTTTGACAAACCCGGTCGGGTATACCACCATACCCGGTCGGGTATGTGTTCCAGTGGGTGTCGGGCAGAAATTTTTGTCAAACCCGGTCGGGTATATCACCATACCCGGTCGGGTATGTGTTCCAGTAGACTTACGAGTGCAAAAACTCGGCCTACCCGGTCGGGTTCATTACCAAACCCGATCGGGTATGTGATCCAGAAGGTTTACGAGGGCAAAAACTTGTCCTACCCGGTCGGGTTTATTGCCCTACCCGGTCGGGTAGTAGCATGGTTTTGCTCTCCTTTCCCCTTTCGGTCTTACGTCTGCTCCCACCTGGATTCTAGGATTTATAACTTCAATTTATGGATGAGGAATGTGTAAAGCGAGAGGAGTTAAGCGGTCATACCTGCAACCGAATCTGGGTTAGCCCGGGCATCCGCCTCCGTCATCGCATAGACTCTAGCTTGAGTCCTTCCTTGATTCACGGATGGCGCATTGCTCGCGCTTGCTCCCCCTTGTCCCCTGCTTGCTTGAGAAGCCCCGGTCTGATTCCGTGTACCCGTCGGGCCACTACTTGGTCCCGATGTCCTTGCCCCGCCCAGTTGTGGGCAATGCGCCTTCAAATGCCCGGCATCCCCACATTGAAAACATCTAGGGGGGTCGCGACATTTACCGGAGTGGTTCTTCTTGCAATTGTTGCAACGAGTTACCACTGAGGTTTGTGACCTCGCGCCTTGCCCACTCGGGCCTTGGTTCCCCCTAGACGGTGGCGGCGGTGTCCGGAAAGATCCTCCTCCATGGTTCCCCTTTTTGTTGGAACCTTGGGAGCCATGACTCTCCCACTTTTTCTTTTTCGCCTCCTCGGCGTCTCTCTTCTTCCTCTCCTCCCACTGTTTCTCCCCCTTCAACGCTTGGTCAACCACTTGGGCGAAAGTCATATTAGGCAATTGTGTTGCCCTATCACGTATCTCCAAGTCAAGAGCATCCCAAAAGTGGTTTACCATTCGGTTCTCGTCACAAGCATACTCCGGTATGTAGTCGGCGAGATCCTGGAACTTGTACTCAAGTTCCTTCACTGTCATGTTACCCCCTTCGGTTAGGAGGGTGTATTCCCTCACCTTCTTGTTCACTTCAAAATCAGAATAATATTGGGCAAAGAACTCCCGTTGGAAGTCCTCCTAAACGACGGTCTCACCGTACTTGCTCTTGGTTCCATCCCACCACTTGGATGCCATCCCCTCGAGCAACCTTACCGCAATTCTCAGTTTGAGATTTGACGCGATTTGCATGTCAAGGGCTGCTTCATTTAGCCTCTTGATCCATTGTGCTGCAACTGAAATGTCCCCTGCTCCATCAAAGGGTTTGCACCCCAAATCTCTTGCTTCTTTGATAAATTTGGAGATCCTTATGGTTGGACCTCCATCATTTTGGCCTCCATGTGGTTCCACATGGACTCTAGATGCACCATGACTTCCTCCTCTTGAAGTCATGCCCGAAGGTTGCCCCGCTCGGCGTCTTCGGCGTTGCCTCCTCTCTTCACGCTCACGGTGATACTGTTGGAGTAGTGCTTCGATCCGTGCTAAGGAGCCATTTTCCTCCTCATCACTTACATCATCATCATCCCCTTCGTAGGGGGTCTCAACCGGTTCTGTTTCCGGTCGATAGGTTGAGTCCTCATAGGACCAGTAGGTTTCACTTTCTGTGTCGACATGACCGTCACTCACGGTCTGTGATCGGCCTCCACGGCCAGCTCCTCTAGATGCCCTAGAGGTCGTTCGACTGCCCTGTCCAGCCTCCACTGGTACACGGCCAGTCGGGTTTCTCCTAGTAATCCTGCCACCACGGTCCATTTCTGAAAGAAATTTGGAAAGAGTCGTTAGACTCGTATCAAATGTCAATTGACGGATAAGTACTTAAGACACATTTTGGCTCGAGTCACCGCCATACCAATTGCTAAGGGTACCATCTTAACAATTAGAGACCTTGCAACCCAAGTACCAAAAGCTCTCCAAGTACAAAACTTCTATGCTCATGGTTTTCAAAATCTTTTCAAAAGAGAATTTTGAGACTTCATTATGAAGTTTATGGACTAAGGCTCTGATACGAACTTAATTGTCACGCCCCGGACCTCCCCGGACACGTCAACAACCCGCCGTACAATACGAATAGCCAACCGCAGTCCAACACATTCATATTATACAAGGCGTCATGAATATCATTCACACATAAGTCATCCATAAACATACATAATAAACAATTCAATACGCAGCGGAAAACATTGTTTAAAACAAAAGGGCCACACAGGGCAAACATGAGCACGCAGGCTCTAAAGTAAAATATCCATGAGCATGTTTATTAATGTTCTAAAACAGGATGGAGGAAGCACGAACCAAGTCTTCTCTCCGGGGAAATCACTCAGGCAACGAGCACAGGAAGCAAGCTCTAGCCTCAACCTGAAATGGTGGTGGAACGCCCCCGAAGGGGTCAGTACTCTATACGGCTATAAAGTACTGGTGTGGCAGGCATCTAATAGATATACAACAAGTATTTCAAACACAAGACCCTCAAATAGGGTGATAGTACATTATGATTGTAACCCTAAGTTACCCCGTTTAAAAATATACTTACTTTATATAAAAGTCAAGTAGTTGGCCCGTGGGCCCATGTTCATTTGGAAATCACCATTCCCAACCCCGTGACTATAAGCCACGACAACTCCTAGAGTCCAACCCTAGTACATGACATTGTATTCTAGAGCTCGGCTCTACCACATCACCATACAATTCATATACCTCGGGTCAATTTCCTTACCTTGCGTTCTAGAGCTCGGCTCTATCACATCACCACGCAAGTCCTAGAGCTCGGCTCTAGCTATACAATACATAGACTCCAAGTCTACACCTTACATGCATTCTAGAGCTCGGCTCTATTACATCACCATGCATTAAGGTCCAATTCTCAAGCAACCCTATGCCTAGAATTGACATATCATTAAACTACTTTGGGTCATCCTTAAAGACTTCCCATAACTTAACCTTAGTTCCAAACTAAGTTATTATATACACTTGAACTATATTCAAGTACCTTTCATACCATCCAATCCCTAGGATCAATTTAATCAACAAGTTCCAATAATCACTAACTAGTATTTCAATACTATTAAGATTATTGTTATCATACCATTATCCTCATTATTTGTAATTCTCTACACATTATTACTTATGTAGCAGCAACTTAAGTATTCAATCTCAATACACAAATATTCATTTATGTATCCACATAATTCATACATGAGCAAAATGCCTATTTCACAAAATAGTTCATTCATACTCATTTAATCTCATATTATTCATACGTTCTCAAATCATTTCAAATTTCATTCCTTGGCAACTATATCAATATTTCATCAATATATAATCATCATAATCCATGAAAAATCATGATTTAAGCATTTAGGTAATCTCATGCTTAACCTACAAGTTGTAAGCAATTAGATGTCAATCCTCACCTCAATTGAGCTTTAAACTTTCCCTTCTTGGTCCAATGGTCAAAGCTTTGGTCAAGGTGGATTTGGAACTAATTCCTTGCTCAAATATGAGTGTTAAACAGCCTCCTCAAAGTGCTAGTTCAACCCTTAATCGTTGATACGAAAACAGCCCCTAGAATGGGTGTTTTCCGGTTAACTCGTTTCCTAGTTTTCCAAGATTTGCTCTAGGTTAGTATCCAACCTTTACACACATAAAATAACTTTATAAGGACATATTATACACTTGAATTAGTGTATAATAGTCCCACCAATCGTTCATATCATTTGGAGAATGAAAAGTAAAGTTTTGGGGTTAAAACTCACTTTAGAAGATTAAATCCTCTCCTGCAAGGTTGTGTTTTGCTCGGACGGTTTGGAAGCCTTCCACTACTCCGATTTCTTCAAACCAGACCTTCACGGATTCCTCGTCTTGAGAGATTTCTTTTGGTATATCATACGCCTTATTTGGACGAGTGAAGCTCAAGTTATGGATCAAACAAGTAGCCCTATTTTCTGGAAAACGAGTCCTGCGGCCAGCTTCTCTCTTCACCTCTCCCTTGGAGTATGTGGCTCTCTCTTTCTCTCTTATCTTGGGAGTTCGAATGGGGTGTAGGGGGAGTGTATTAGGAGGCCTCAATCATGCTAAGAGAGCATGTGGTTCACAAAAAGAAGGATAGGGTATTTGATTGCAATCAAACATGGTGTGGACCTCCTCTTTTATTTCCTTTTTGTAATGTTGTAGTTCATGAGTCAAAAGTCCGCCCCACATAGTTGTCTCACCCATTTTCCTTTGTCTTGCAGGTACCAAGGTCATGTGGGATGATTCCCAAATGATCCCATTCAATTTGGGGTCCAAAATATCTATCAATACTCCCAAAAATGGAAAGATGGGTCCTATTGTTTTATCTTTGTCAAAAGATGTCTTTTTGTACTCATCCTAATTTATTTAGAACAAGTCAACTTCTTACATCACATTATTGATCTCCAATATGTGTAGGATCATCTCAATAATTTACATGAGGAAAATTATAAAAGAATACGAGTTTGAACAATACAATATTCAATCATGTACTACGTAAAATATTAATCGTTTTTCCATTGTTTTGAAATCGGAAATTCAATACATCACTTTGAATTTAAGAATGGAATTTTCAAGGACGTTCGGGTGCGGTGTCACAGTAAGCACCGCCATATTTTAAATGTGGCTCGTGCACTCATGTTTCAGGCTAATATTCCACTTTATCTCTGGGGTGAATGTGTGCTAACGGCGGTTCATCTTATTAACCGCACACCCTCGGGACTCTTGGAGGGTAAAACACCCTACGAAATTCTTACTGGGAAGCCGCCAAATTTCCAGCAGCTGCGCGTATTTGGGTGCTTGGGGTTTGCTCACAACTTAAAAACCGGTGGGGATAAATTTCTTCCACGAAGCAGGAAATGTGTTTTTATTGGATATCCTTCTGGCAAGAAAGGATGGAAGATGTTTGACTGGTCTACAGGGGATATTTTTGTCTCCCGAGATGTCCAGTTTCATGAGGATGTGTTTCCTTTCTGAGATATAACCCCTGATTTGTCCGATGCTACACCGGTCCTTGACTCTTCATTGAATGCCCCCACTATTCTTGACATGGCAGATGCAGTTCCTCCTGATTCACCTATTGTGCCCACACATGATACGATGACCCCCCCGGTTGACACTATCTCCGACAGCTCTACTCTCGGCCGTGGTATGCGGTCTAAACGCCCATCGGTCTTACTCCGAGATTATGTGGCCCATCATATACAGAACATTAGCCCATCTCGTTCGCCACCCTCCATCAGCTCCTCAGGTACGCGATATCCTATTAGTCATTATGTTTCTTGTGATAAATACTCTACTCGTCATCGCATGTTTCTTGGAGCTATTTTGGCAGGTCAAGAACCTCGGTCTTTCCGAGAAGCTATGACTGACCCTGGTTGGCGCACTGCCATGCAGAGCGAGATACAGGCTCTCGAGCATAATCACACATGGGACATGGCACCTCTACCCCACGGTAAAAAGGCCCTAGGCTGCAAATGGGTCTACAAAATTAAATACAAATCTGATGGGACTGTTGAGCGCCTGAAGGCTCGTCTGGTTGTGTTTGGGAATCACCAGGAAGCTGGTATTGATTATACAGAAACTTTTGCTCCTGTGGCCAAAATGGTCACCGTCCGTCTTCTTTTAGCAGTAGCCGCTGCTCACAACTGGGAGCTTCATCAAATGGACGTCCATAATGCCTTTCTCCATGGCGATTTGGCTGAAGAGGTCTACATGCGGCCTCCTCCTGGTTTTTCTCCATCACGGCCAGGCCTTGTATGTCGCTTGCGCAAATCCTTATATGGTCTTCGGCAGGCCCCGAGGTGCTGGTTTGCTAAGCTCGCCCATTCTCTTAAACACTATGGATTTACACAGTCTTATTCCGATTATTCGTTATTTTCTTTGCGCAAAGGTGATGTGCAACTCCATGTTCTTGTATACGTGGATGATTTGATTATTGCGGGGAATAATTCTGCTGCCTTGTCTCATTTTAAATCTTATTTGAATACTTGCTTCCACATGAAAGATTTGGGTGTTCTCAAATATTTTCTTGGCATTGAGGTAGCCCGGAGTACTGACGGCATATATCTTTGTCAACGCAAATATATCTTGGACATTATCTCTGAAGCAGGTCTTCTTGGGGCTAAACCCTCTTCTTTCCCTATGGAGCAAAATCATTCCTTGGGCCTTGCTACGGGTGATCTATTGGCTGATCCGGAGTCGTATCGGTGGCTCGTTGGCCGTCTTATTTATCTATCTTTCACTCGCCCGGATTTAGCATATGCTGTTCACATTTTGTCTCAGTTTATGCAGGCTCCGAGGCAAGAACACTGGCAGGCGGCTCTCCGGGTTGTCCGTTACCTCAAAGGCTCTGCTGGACAAGGAATTCTTCTACGGTCATCTTGTGATTTCACACTTACAGGATGGTGTGATTCAGATTGGGCTAGCTGTCCACTTACTCGACGATCTCTGTCTGGTTGGATAGTATTTCTTGGCGGATCTCCCGTTTCTTGGAAGACCAAGAAACAACACACAGTATCTCGTTCTTCTACTGAAGCTGAGTACCGATCCATGGCGGCCGTTGTTGCGGAGTTGAAGTGGCTGAAAAGTCTTCTTCTTCATTTCGGCATTGCTCACCCTCAATGTGACACCGCACCCGGATGTACTTGAATTTGGAATTTGATATGTATTCGAATTTCCTAGCAAATAAAATTCATGTAATTGATTGGCATATTATTTAATGTGCGATTAATTAAATTATTTATCGGGTCCAGTATATGTGACTGGGCTACCAAATATTTAGTTGGGTCATCGTGAAAATTATAGAAGCCCAAATAAAGTGCCAACCAAAGTTGATAAAAATATTTGGACAACCCGAGTGCTATCTTGGCCCAACCTGCCGAAAATAGCAGAAATAATTGGGAGGGACTTCCTACACCCACTTGGGATATTCCACCAGTCAAATAACCCCCAAATAATGGGGAGGGGACAAGGAAATAAGGGGAGGGGCGAGCTAGGCATGAGGGGAGTCTGATGTGAGTTTTCTCGCACTTAAAAAGATTGTAATATAGTGGTGTAAGTACGAGTATCGTCTCCACAGGGACGGACAAAAGGGAATCAAGAATTAATTAAATTCAGCGATTAAAAAGAAATAAAATAAATGCGTCGTGCGAGATTTGATTGGGTGGAAAATTAAACTAATGCTAATGAGCAATAAAATAAAAAGATTGGTTTCTCTCTAATTAATGACGAAGGGAATAGGGATTGATTCCAGGGTAACCAGATTTCTGGCAGATCAGGCTTAATTACATGAAATTAATTTAATTGAGCCTAGCTAATCATTACTAAGTTCTTACCGCTCTCGCGGCGTAGAGTACAATAATTTAGGGGACCAGGCTGATCTCTCATGCGACAGGATCCTAAGTTATTGCCAAGACGAGCGAGCTTACGGCCCCTTAATCGCTACTAATCTCTTAGCGAACGATTAAGTGTGTGTGAATGTGTCCTAGAACAAATTAGATCTCTCTTAATTCATTCTACATACAATTGTAATTCTAGCTGCAGTCTAGGTTACAAGAGATATCAATTAAATTATTCAAACACAAATTAAACGGCATTCATGCAATTAAACCGACAAGAATCTAGCCATCAATCATGATTAACCCCTTCATCAATCCCAAATCCCTAATTAAACTACTCACAATTCATAATTGAAGAATCAACAGAATTGGGATGAATAGAAATAATTGTCATTAATTAAAAAGATGAACTTACAAATAATCCCAGGGTCTTGGAAGAAAATAGCGTAAAAACGGTGTTAAATTTGTCCCTAGGCCTCTCCGTAATGTTCGTAACCCCCCAAAACGGGGTTATGGAGGCCTTATTTATAGAAAACAACGAATTCGGGTCGAATTAGGACAAATCGCGGCCAGGCACGGTGCCAGGCACGACCGTGCCTGCGACCGTGCCTACGAAAGAAATCCGTATTTCGCGTCCAGGCACGGAGTGCCTAACTGCCAGGCACGACCGTGCCTGGCTTCCAGTAGCCAATTTCCTCGAAATATGCCAGGCACGGCGTGCCTAGCTTCCAGGCACGGCGTGCCTGGCCTCCAGTAGCTCCCAGGAAAATTTACGTTTCAGGCACGGCGTGCCTAGCTGCCAGGCACGGCGTGCCTGACCCTATTCTTCACTTCTCCTTCGTTTTCTTGCTCCGAATGCTCCCGGATGCCTACGAGGTCGATCCAAATGCTCTTTCTTTACCAGAATTTCGTCACGAATCTCCCGGTGGCCTCCAAATCTTCCAAATCTTTCTCGAATGCCTTTCAAGCGCCGATTGCCGGACTCTAACTTCTTCAAATCAACTTCAAATGCAATGAAACTTGATCCAACGCCTGCTAAACACAACTTGAGCCAAAATTGAGACTTGCATCGCCTTAAAGCTAGGAAAATCATCAAAATCCAACCCGAACACGCATCAAATGCGTGTCTAAATACGGACTTATCAGAGTCTCATTGAGACAAATGCCCATACCCCCATGTCCTACTCCTTGGATTATCTTCCAATTGATTGAGGAGTTGTCTCCTATCATTGGCATCCATTCGAACCAGCCAGGGAGAGAGAGAGCTCAAGGGGAGTCCTCACATCATCCAAGGCTTGAAGGAAGCAAGAAGCTAAGGAAATCCAATAGAGAACAACTAGAAGAAGAGGTAAGAACACAACTCTTATCTTTTAACTAGTTTTGTTGTATGATTTTTAAGAAATCATATGGTGGATTAAACCATGAGTTATACACGTTTAAAAGTGTATAATATTGTTATTTAGTGGTGGTATTTAACTTAGAAGAGTCGTGGAATCGATAGGAGTTGAAACCGCCGGAAACCGCCAAGTGTAGGAGGCTGTTCGTAGTAGCAGACGACGAAAGCCGCCCAGCTTTCGTGAAAGCCGTCCGGCTTTCACCTTCTGCCCAGATTTTTCGCTTTCGATCGGTTCAGAACGGGGGTGACGTGCACTTTGTCGTGGTGTGCACTCAAAATAATAATCAATACGACACTAATACGTAGTATAGTGTAGTAAGGTTCGTATCCACAGGGAAAGGAATACTTTTCTCTTTATAAACTAGTAACAAGGGGGGGGGGGTTAGATTGAGTAAATGAACTTGAATTATATTTAAACACGAAGATGAACGAGTTATGTGGTTTAATTAATGAGAAGAAGACTTGGCTTTGCTTTTATCCACTTAATGAAATGTTCGTCGATCCCGGTTATATCTTTAACTATCTTCCTCTCGAATACTCAATCGAGGAGTATATCCAGTTCATCGAGGGTAGTTATTAATAACGAGAAGCGTTCATTAATAAAACTTACTACCGAGTCAATATAGAACAAGCGTCGTATATTAACTTGATAGTAGCAATAAAATCAAGATGAAAACGATTGAG